TAGACCGTTTTCAGCGTTAAATTGGAGGGCTGTTTTCATCTCATATTTTTTTCTGTTATACCGTGCCAGAGATGCACTTGAATAGATGCATGTTACTTGCTCATTTCTCCTGCTAAATTGAATTTATAAACGGAATTATCGCAGTACTTTTATGCGGGAGGTATCACATAAAACCGTACACTTAACGTCTATCTTATTTTTAATGATACGAAAGATGCATGAAAGAACCACAGTTCGAATGGTTTGGAAGAAGTATTTTAAATAGATGTATTTTACAATTATTTTTCAGAAAGCCATTTTTTGAAAATATGACGTCTTTATCGTGTAGCATACGATCAGATGACTCGGAGCAAAAGAAATATCAGGATGGTTTTCTTTTTCCAACTTCTTTTGTTACATTATTACATTTCATGTCGTGGTATGTAATGCATTAAATTATGCTATCGTTTCGTGCCGGATATCCGAACAAGTTCTCGTCCACTGTATCAACAACAATGATGGGATTTTTAAGCGTACTATACAGGGAGAACAGAGAAGCGATGGGTGTCGGGTAAATTGAGTAAAGTTTCGTGGTCACTACGGTCAGGAATGAAAATTGGCCCGAAATTAGGGTGCACTAATGGCCTCCGTAATTGATATTGGATGCAAGCGTTGCTTACCCCTCCTTCTCTATTCCCTGATATGATACACGCTGTTTCCTATACATTGTTACCGTAAATGGCCGAAATGCTTTTAACGCCTCCACCGACCGCGACTCGTTTTCACCTCTACATTATTTCGCGTGTACTTCACGGGGAAAGTCCTTAGAACAGATTACAGGATTTCTGCATGTGTATTAAGAACAACTTGTACATTTTCCCTTATCTACGATGGCCTTCACTTTGTGTGAGAACTTTCTGTAATTTCAAAAGACAACGCTATGTTTCTGCCCGGTTTAATTGTTCGCGAATCCTCGGAAATATTCTCTTGTTTTCTTATTACTTCTGCATAAAGAGATATTTTTTCTCTATGTTCTCTCTTTGTTCCCAATTCATGTTTAACACTTTGACTGCCGCATCACTCATACGTAGGTTACAGAATTATTTAAAAATTCATTTTCACGCTAATCCATTCTAGTTTCTCAATTCTATTAAGATTCGCAAGAGGAAAAAATGCTAAAAAAAGTAACTAACGTCATATAAACTTCGCATTGCAATTTTAATTCAATTGAATGAAATACTTTAATTTTACGAAACTCTTGAGGTTTTTGGTGCGGCCGTCAAAGTGTTAATGTTATATACAGTGACTCTAACTAAAACTAGAATAAACGATTTGAATTTTTTTTAGATGATAGAGGAAAAAATTTCGTTGTTACAATTTTGTTGTTACAAAATTTCGTTGTTACAAAAAACTCTCGTTTTTTAACTTCTTTATCTGAGCCTAAAATGAAAATTTAAAAAATGCGTTTTGTAGATCTTGGTTAGCTATTAAGCATGCTGAAAATTTCATCGAATTCGATTAACGCAAAGTCAAGTTACAGGCGTTAAAAGATTGTAAGAACTGCACATTTCTCGCACTTATTGGTCGAAAGTGTCAAAAATCGGGACAAAAGTGCGATTCTTACGATCTTTAATTGTTTACAGCATATAAGAAGATCAACCGATTTCGGTGAAATTTTTAACAAACATATAACTTGCCGAGATCTACAAAACGCATTTTTTAAGTTTTCGTTATAGACTCAGATAAAAAAGTTGAAAAACAAGAATTTTTTACTTTCTTTTGTCATTGTAAGCAATAGCAAAATTTATAACAAGCATTCTAGTTACGACTCTATCATCTAAAAAGAAAAATTCAAGTCGTTTAGTCCAGGTCTAAAAAGTTATTGCGTTTTGAAAGGTGTCCGAATATTAACGTGAGTCACTGTATACTTCAACTGACTTTACATATTGTTTTAGTCTGTATGCATGTCAGTTCAACCTCAAGAGCAGCCGAATTGTCAATAAACAATCACACAACCTGTGAGAGTAAAAAGACCAATACAAAATCTTGCGAATCTCGCAGCTAAATTTGATTGGCTCGATGTAGTTTTCTAATAATTATACTATTTTTTCAGAATTAAATTAAAAATTATGAAAACTCCATTCCGTCTTACACATTTGCTTCTATCTATGTATAATTCTATATCGAACTGATGGAAGAGCTTCCTGATATAGCCGTGTATAGATAAAAAAGCCAATAATGTCAATTACACCAACAGAAATGTGTCAGATGGAGTTTCCATTTTCTTCGCATTTGATATTTCCATTTTGAGTGTCGAAAATATCCGAAACCGATAATTTCTCAAATGTACACCGTGTACGAGCATCATTTCAATTCGACCATTGTTCGTCTCGTGTTACAGATTACATGGATGAAAGACAGGCAGCTGCTGACCGTTGGCATGAACACCCACTCGGTCGACCAACGATTTGTCGTGATCCATTCGAGTACCGATTGGACGCTGCAGATACGAGCGGTCACCGTAGAAGATGCAGGCATCTATGAGTGTCAGGTATGCACTATGTCGACGGATTCACGCGTGGAAGAAAATCCGTGTTTCTTTGTTGCGACAGCGTTACTATCGTGTGGCAGCGTTGGCTCGTGCATATCATTCATTCGGTTGTAAAAACCGCGGTCGTATCCTAAATTTACGACACAATTTTCCAGCGACTTTTATGAAGCATTTCTTTCTGCGTGGACAATAGCAGAAAACAAACTGTACAGATAGTCCAGTGCCGGCCCGTATAAAACGTTCGCTGAGCATTAATATCGCGCGGTGGTCGTTTAATTACGTCGACCGTAATACATTACCGTGGAGCGAAATATCAGCCGAAATGTCATCGTCGGAATAGCCAACACGCAACAATGGACGCGTAAGGTCAAGAATGCTCATCGATGCGTTTAATGTTTGATAGCGCCCGTTATATTAAATGTTATCCACCGGACATTATACTCGACGCAGTCTATACAGCGGTCTGACCTTTCAGTAAGGTTAACGCTTTCCGAAAATTTCATGGTCCGCTGCAAATTTGATAGTAATGATTCGTTCCATTAAACCAACGAATCAACGAAATGTTTGTTGATTCGTATTTCGGTCGAATTGTTTGCTGATGAACGAGTCCGCGTAATTGGTCCGCTTCGTTTCAAATGGAAATTCCACATGCAGTAACGTTTAAAGGAATTCAGCAAGCATTCTTTTGAAATATGGACACGTACTCCTCGCGATCTTAGTCATTGTCTCGTGCCTCATGTTTCATGTATGACGGCCTTGTGCCACTTGCTTGATTAAAAACGTACTCTTATTACTTGTCTGATTGATGGTGATACCATAGTACTTGCGCCTGATTAATGATATTGTGACCATGACCATACTCCATAATGCAGGTTATATGCGCGTCACATGAAACACGATACTGACTTTAAATGGTATCAGCAGCGCACTGTTTGTTTTGAATCACGGATTACGAATGCTTCGATGCGATCGTTGCGAGAAACGCAAGTCTATTTCAACTGTGACAATGATTTTGTACTTGATATCATACAGCTTTTTTGCAGACATGTTTTAATAGATTATTAATTGGTTTATCTGTAACGTCTGAGAGCTTCTGAAAAAGAAGCAGTGCTTAATCATTTTTTAATAACACTTTTTTAATTTTCTGTTTTAATTTTTAATAAAATTTTAGTTAGTGTTAATTTTAGCATAGTGTTTTGAAGGCGATTAAGATCTGCAGAGACGATTTGTTACTTCAATCTAGGAAGCTACTGATTACAATGTGCTGTTTAAATGTAGACGAACAATTATAGCATTAGGCGAAACGATAATGAAAGTGAAAAGAAAGTAAGCGAAGATTTGATAAGTTGATGTGAGAACCGCGGAGACGTTGACTTGAAGCTTAAGAAATTTAAGAATTCCATTTCGCCAGATTTTTATGTTACGTACAATACAAACTCATCCATTTATGGAAGTACTTCTACGCGGCTATTGGATCATCCAATGGAATTTTTACTGGCATGTTGGGTATGAAACGAGTGGAAGTCGAAGTTCCAAAATTTATTGGCTCACGCATCGTTACTCGTTCGTGAATTATTGATAAAAAATAAAGCGATTGGGATTCCGCGACCACCGGACCCTCTGCCCGGTGCTTTGTTCAGCTCCCCAAAATAAAATACAATCTATGAAAGAACATAGTTTTTCGACTATAGAGGAATTAGAGGCAAAATCGCTGAACAAATTCAGAGCAATTCCAAGAAACGCGTTTCACAAATGTGCGAGTTAAAATCATAGTAAGTCATATTTTCCTCATTGTGGAAAACGAGGAGTGTCACGGTTCACTAACATTTGTATTATTTACTGACCGAATTTATTGTTGGGATCATTTAGAGTTAAGATAACGTATAGTAACTTGTTACTTGCCTTTTCAACATTTCGTCTTTTAACTAACCCATTCAAATGTTTTGAAGATTAAAGACAACGTTGGCATAAGAGTGTTACAGTCGATGAATACAATAATTTCTCCCTAATTCGCGCTCAGATCGCGCACAAAAATGGACAATTCGGGAAGAGGAGATACGATTATTACGATTATTTATAGTTACCGATTATCAACAACTGTAAAAACGAGACGCGAGGCACGAATAAATCGCATCTCCTCTTCTCAAATTGTCCATTTTTGTGCGCGATCTGAGTGAGAATTAGGGGGAAATGACTGTACCTTGAATGGGATCACATCAATACTGAGGAATAAATAAATACGAGTTCCGAGGGCTTTTTGAACACTTCATACATCGATTAAAATGGCGGAGAAGTGGTCCGCGTGTGTTAGCTTTCACGATCCCGTGGTTTTACGATCTAACTAGAGTGATTGGTGTTTCAGATTACGTCGCATCCAGTGCAACGGCATTTCGTCCGCTTGCGGATCACGGAGGCGTACTCGGTCATACCTGGGGCGCCTGATTTGCATGTGAAGCAGGGCTCGAGTCTTCGACTGGAGTGTCAACTGATGGCGGCCGCGGAGTCGCCGCAGTACGTCTTCTGGTATCGTCAGGGTCGCATGATCAATTACGACGAGGAGCCGGGCGTGAAAGTCGAGCTAACGAAGAACGGATCGATCCTGATGGTCGACAAGACGAAACCGGTGCACGGCGGCAATTACACCTGCGATCCGAGCAACGCCAGGTCCTCGTACGTGGTCGTCCACGTGATCGAAGGTGAGCGAAATTGATCCGCGGTTATAACGGCAGCTTACGCGACGTAAGAACGGCCGCTAAATTGATTCTCACGGGAAATATTTGCCGGTCCATTTTTCACGGGGAATCGCAGCGATTTTCCGGTTGTACCGCGTGACCGCGGCAACACCCGCGCATAAATGCATTCCAATGCGGCCGTTTCATTTTTCTTCTTTTTCAACGCAATTAATAATCCACGAGGCTGCGCCGTAATGTATTCCAACGGCGATTGATCATCGCGATACGCTACTCGCGTGCGCCGGAGCTTTAATGTTCCACTCGCCTGGGCACCGACCAATACTTTTTCCTTAACCGGATCTCTATTGCTTGTAATCGCGCGATACTAGAACCGCTGCTTAATACACCACGCGTTACTGCTCACAAGTCAATCTATTACCACTTGCATGATTAACCGCGGTGCAATATTACTCGGCTGATCAGGTGGGATCACTCGCTGGCAATCTGATGAACCTTGACACGTAGAGCCTACTTAGACACGCACCCTGCTGCACTACGTGTTCAACTTCTTTTTTTTATTGATTAGACAATCTTATATCACTCGCCTGACCTTTTGGATCTACTTTCTGCGAAAATAAAAGGGGCCTATCAGATTATAAAGTCCTTACAGGTTTCTTTACTCGGAAACTCTTCTACAGGTTCCTTTTCACTCGGTCTTCTGTATATAAAGTTCCTCGTAGCATGAATGGCGTGTCCTCGTAATAAGATATCACAGATGATGCACCTATTTCGTGAAACAATAATTGAGCCGCTTATTTTGAAAGTGGCCTAACTCCGTTTTCTAATTTTTTGCCGGTTACCATGGTTAAATGTACAGCTTCATGTTATGTATCAGTGAAGCACTTCAGGTTGCTTATATTCCTGTCTCTTATACACATCTAGATGTGTATAAGAGACAGGCTTCATGTTATGTATCAGTGAAGCACTTCAGGTTGCTTATATTCCTGTCTCTTATACACATCTAGATGTGTATAAGAGACAGGCTTCATGTTATGTATCAGTGAAGCACTTCAGGTTGCTTATATTCCTGTCTCTTATACACATCTAGATGTGTATAAGAGACAGGCTTCATGTTATGTATCAGTGAAGCACTTCAGGTTGCTTATATTCCTGTCTCTTATACACATCTAGATGTGTATAAGAGACAGGCTTCATGTTATGTATCAGTGAAGCACTTCAGGTTGCTTATATTCCTGTCTCTTATACACATCTAGATGTGTATAAGAGACAGGCTTCATGTTATGTATCAGTGAAGCACTTCAGGTTGCTTATATTCCTGTCTCTTATACACATCTAGATGTGTATAAGAGACAGGCTTCATGTTATGTATCAGTGAAGCACTTCAGGTTGCTTATATTCCTGTCTCTTATACACATCTAGATGTGTATAAGAGACAGGCTTCATGTTATGTATCAGTGAAGCACTTCAGGTTGCTTATATTCCTGTCTCTTATACACATCTAGATGTGTATAAGAGACAGGCTTCATGTTATGTATCAGTGAAGCACTTCAGGTTGCTTATATTCCTGTCTCTTATACACATCTAGATGTGTATAAGAGACAGGCTTCATGTTATGTATCAGTGAAGCACTTCAGGTTGCTTATATTCCTGTCTCTTATACACATCTAGATGTGTATAAGAGACAGGCTTCATGTTATGTATCAGTGAAGCACTTCAGGTTGCTTATATTCCTGTCTCTTATACACATCTAGATGTGTATAAGAGACAGGCTTCATGTTATGTATCAGTGAAGCACTTCAGGTTGCTTATATTCCTGTCTCTTATACACATCTAGATGTGTATAAGAGACAGGCTTCATGTTATGTATCAGTGAAGCACTTCAGGTTGCTTATATTCCTGTCTCTTATACACATCTAGATGTGTATAAGAGACAGGCTTCATGTTATGTATCAGTGAAGCACTTCAGGTTGCTTATATTCCTGTCTCTTATACACATCTAGATGTGTATAAGAGACAGGCTTCATGTTATGTATCAGTGAAGCACTTCAGGTTGCTTATATTCCTGTCTCTTATACACATCTAGATGTGTATAAGAGACAGGCTTCATGTTATGTATCAGTGAAGCACTTCAGGTTGCTTATATTCCTGTCTCTTATACACATCTAGATGTGTATAAGAGACAGGCTTCATGTTATGTATCAGTGAAGCACTTCAGGTTGCTTATATTCCTGTCTCTTATACACATCTAGATGTGTATAAGAGACAGGAATATAAGCAACCTGAAGTGCTTCACTGATACATAACATGAAGCTGTACATTTAACCATGGTAACCGGCAAAAAATTAGAAAACGGAGTTAGGCCACTTTCAAAATAAACGGCTCAATTCTTTCATCGAATTGTATTTCGAACAGATGCCGCGGCCCACTGAAGTATTCGTCCACGAGGACAAAGTTTATTCAGTTGAATATGAAATAATTTTCTAACTGCATTTTATCAATTTAATTCGTATAAACGAACCCGTGCGAAGAGCGACCGTATTTTAATAGCAGCTGATGCAAGTATTATTTCGACGAGAGTATTTCATTGAAATGTAAGGAAATGGTACTTGAAAGCTTTCGGAGGTAATGTTTTTCGATAGGATTAATCGATGTTCCGCGACTGAAATATAATGCGTAAACATTCGAAACAAAGTGAACGTACTGTTCACGCACTTTAATGAAAATTAATGTTTTATTTACTCCGAATCTGAATAGCAATTATTAAACGGTGGATTTCTACAGTAGCTACCAGTCTTTTCACATTTCCACCAGCCTCGCTTCTCTCTATCAAAAGTGTTTTGACCTCGAATATGCTAAGCCACCGAGCTACACTGCACGGCATAAAAGGAAGCAAAACCTTTGAACTCCTGGAGAAGTTGTCGATATTTCCGAAGTTTAAAAGTGCCCTACGGTCAAAGAACTGATTTCTTTTTCATGCATCGTGGTATAAAATGCAGGAATATTTAGCTGAAGGAAATGAGCCAACCACTTCATATGCAATTGTGAACATCAATGAACCCATCCAAAGGGCCAGTATTCGATCCGACTATTTAAATGGAGGTTGTTCGAAATATTTGGTAAAAGATCTACCGATGACGTGCCATCGATTTTTGTCATTCTAATGCAGCTAATTGGATTAAAGCGTTTTAACCGTGAGTAAACCTGTGAAAGTAATATGAAGTATAGTTTTAAGAATGATCTATTCCAGTTATATCTCCTCACAGTTGTTTCTGAGAATTTTTGGGCTTGATATTTGGCACTTTACTCTTTGGGGCACGGTGGGATTAAAAATGCCCCATCTTTCTAATGCACGGTAATGCATGGTGGGGGACATTTTTAGATCCGCCTCGAAATATTGCAATAGCTGCATGCGCATTCATGAACCCATGTGGCACGGTAGGACTATTCGAGTTCCACCGTATAGCAACAAATTGCATTGAATTATTATTATTTTTTAATGTTTTTATATTAAGCGATTCCTTTGTTAATAGAAATACACTAATTTTGTTTCATTTAAAACGCGATAAAATTTCTGCGCAACATGGGACTATTTGATTTTCTGAAATCCTGTGCAGCAAAGAGTTAACGTATGAAAATGTCAAGCGTAAATCTCATCAACGCCCTCCGTGAACAATATTTAATTTGTTGAAATTAAGATCGACATATCAAATTTTCTACTGAAACGAATAACGAAAAATCATTAATAGTCACCAAAGAATAAGTTAAAAACGATGCTTATGTCATCAGTAATATCTAATTTTCCATTTTGAATTGTCCATTCCTGATGATATATCGAGATTAAAAAGAAAGGAGCGTGCCGATTCTCATAAAAATCTTACGAAATTGTGAATTGTTGCCAACGTTCCCTGAGAAGCTTCCACTGTACGTCACCGCATTCAAAGTAACTTCGCAGGCACGTTGCTTAATCTAGAAGTGGCGTGAAAGGTACTGAAGAAAAAATCGATATTTCTGAGCCATAAAATCGGGATCCTCGTTTAATAGATATTCGGACAGGCGAGGGGGGGGGGGGGGGGGGGGGA